ACGGATTGCTCGCCTTTTCTTTAAGCTCCTTAAAAGTTTGACTCGACTCTTGCATTACATTTAATTTGTTCCGTATAAGAGTATTGAGGACATCCTGCAGTTCTCTTCCCTTCAATCGTGCACTCTAATATTATATGCAACTATAAGCGTACACATTTCTCCCACAGTTCTAAGTACCTCTTCATTTGTTTTTCTCTCCGTACAGTTGATCTCTTCCAGCATCGCATCTCGAAGGCTCCTAGTTATATAAATATAATAATTATATGCGCGATAAAAAATTTCGAAGTATAGACTTGTAATATTATATTTGAATGTATGGAGTATTGTATATTATATAGAGCAAACACAGATATCGTATACTGTCCGTAAATAATTAAATATGTTTCGTAATATCGCGGCCATCATTAGTGCAGTCCGGCTACATTGTGGGTATACGCCAACCGAATCGTTTATAATAATTATTGTATAATTTAACTTTTGATTCCTTTGACCTAAAACGAACCGTTTAAGAACCGTTGTACGTATTGTATGTAAGTATAAGACCGCGAACGTTTTGGATATTAGGATAAGAACCTATCTATAGAATAGAATAATTACGACACAAGAAACAAAAACGCGTAAAAAATATTATTCGCGTTGATTTATAGTGTAGTTCTTCGACTTAAAATACCTTAATTTACTCGTAGGTACCATTTTGGTTAGATATATAACTATGATTATTACCTCGCGACCCGCAGTAACGGTGACGCATCAATTGCGGGCACCGAACAATAATATTATTATGTCAATTTATTTTATTGCCAAAGAACCACATAATTCCCTGTTTGTCTTGATGAATCGTCTAGATAGACACGTTATGGTATATTTTATATTGTTCGGGTAAACGGTAAATGAGTCATCTTAGAAACATCATCGAGATAAATAACAATTAAACAAGTTAGAAAAGCTCACCCACCGACCCTGAAAAATCCAGACTAAATCAGAATTTGAATGTATTACGCGCAATTTAACCACAAAAATTGAGTGATCACGCTTAAGGAATCATCGTGTGCATACAATTTTAATCTAGATAAAAAAAAAGTGCCGGTTGTTTATCTTTATCCAGACGATTAAATTTTTATGCACCTATATAATATCTGTTTTCTTCATCTAGATAATCGTCCCAGTAATATTATCTCTTATTTTCTAGATATTTCAAACATTGTTTCTGTACAACACTGTATGATAATTTCACATTTTACTACAAACGAAATTATTATTATTATATTTATTATATTATTTTATTTAAATTATATAACTACCGATTAATTAAAATAATCGATGTACTGACGAATATGAATTATACTGCATGTCTGAAATTTTACATTCGGAAGCGGATAAAATTATTCAAAAGTGGATGATACAGAGTTTTTAGTATTTTTAAACGAAAATTGATTTGGTGTCATGGATGAAATATTATCGGTTGATTTGGTTCTATATATGCAGTTGTACGCTGAAAATACCAAAATATTCTTAAAAAAAAAAAAAAAACACGTTAAAAATAAACGAAATCTTTAGATATAAAAAAAAAAAAACAATTCTACTATGTTTATAAATCTTGAAAAAATGTTATGGTTTTCGATTCGTTGGGTTGAACATTTTAAAAATTTATACGAAGTTCTTAAACGTTCAAATATGATAAAATATACAAAATAAAATGTTCTAAATAGAATTGTTAGATTACGAAACGAATTTCGGTATAAACCAGCTATTTAGTTGGCCACCCAATAAAAATATTCAAAAGCGTATAAATAATTATAAGCGCCAGTAATAACTGGGGAAACACGCCCGGGCGCGGTCTTTATTTTTTCGCAAAAGCTGTGCGGGACAGCTATACAAAAAATATAAGTAAACAATAATATTACAATCCCGATCCAGATATCATTTACGTTTAGGTAACCAAAAAAAAAAAAAAAAAAAAAAAAAAAAAATGAAAAAAATAGTCGTATGTTTCGTCGTTTGGCGACCATAATCGTTTCGTTGATTGATTTATAATAATACGACGGAACTCGTACGACAAATGAAAGTGAATAAGATTCTAAGTATTTATTTCGTACGCGAAACATGTACCGAGGTGGTTTTCAACGCGATCTAGCGGCCAAATCAACTGCATACTTAAACTACGGTAACGCTTTTGCTCTCTAGTCGGTTCGCCGTATAAATCCGTTTTGGCGCACAATAATATTATAATATAGTAACGCGTTTTATATAACTGCAGGTGAGTGTACATCTACTTAATATTAATTGAAACTATCGATTTTTTTTTTCCCACGTTCTCCGGTGAAACCATATTTTATATGAGCGCGTACAATACCGAAACCTAAATGTATACACACACACACACACACGTTCTACATTAATCCCGTCGTTTTAAAGAACCATTATTCTTAATAAAAGTTTATCCTAGTTAGATTTTGTACGTTACACGCGGCTGCGGCGAGCGTATAATAATAATATTGTTACGACGCGAACTGCGAAAACTTGTAATTTCATAAATAAGCACGCGGAAATTCCTTCAGACCTTAGATGCGAAATAATATAATTAAAAAAAAAAAAAAAAAAAAAAAAATTGTTCTATAATAATATTGTTTACTTTCGAATATTTCACGACGCCGTACACTTACGAACGCGTCAAACGGCACTAAAGTGATTTGTTTTTACTCGGATACAATCGCGAGCGGTCCGGACGTATCGCAATTACGGATCCGCCGCGTCCGCGTGCCCCGCAGAACGGCCGAGCGTGTAGGTATCGGTTGAATAATCTAATTTCCCGAAAACCGAGCAGAACTGCGTCGCGGTAATTTTCGACAGCGACCCGCGCCGCGTGTGTTCGCGAACGTTAATAAACGTGCCGTACATTCTGTTGCCGTTTAAAAGCGCTATTTGTTCGCGATAAATCAAATCCGCGCCCGGCAGAACCGAACTTGTGTGTTGTCAAGTGCGACGTTGTCAAACGCAAAGTTTCGCGAACGTTGTCCGTGCTCGCGCGTCGGCTCTTTCGCGATAGCTGTTTCGATATACGCGCGCGGGCTGCGCGCGTGTCCTGTGCAGAACGTTACGATTATAAAAGTGCTCGCGTGTCTCGCTCCTTTTAAAATATTGTAATAAGGGGAAAAAAACAAAAAAAAAAAACGGAAAAAAACAAAAAAACCAACGTATAAACGCGGATTAACGCGCTCGTAACTTTAAATTTGACTGCGAGTCGATTGGCTCTATAATATATCGTTGTGCTCGAGCTACAACGGCGCGGGTTCGGTGCCGTCGAACGCGAATTCGGTACAATATGTCGCGCGTGGGTCAGAGAGAGAGAGAGAGAGAGAGAGAGAGAGAATGAGAGAGAGAGAGAGACGGCGAACGGCGCGGCGCTGACATCCGCTTAATAACGCAGAATCGAAATGAACGATCGAAAACAATCGGGCAGAGACGGTGTGGGGGACGGGGTTATAACGCCACGGAATGGCATCGGCGCCCGCCGTCGTTATTATCGCAACGCGACGGATTGTGAAGACGACGACGACGGGGCGGACAAAGACAAATTGTAGATTACGGGCGACATTGAGAAAAGGCGATATGATAATAGCAATAATAATAATAATAACGACAACAATAATAATAACGACAATAACAATAATAACAATAACGATAATGACGACAATGTCGCCGTTTAAAATAAAATTGTACCGAACGTATTTTATAACGAGTGGGTGATGCGTGCGCACGCGGATTGCAACAGAGCGCAAAATGCAATTCGGTTGAAAACCGTGCTGCCACGGCGACAGCGTCAAACGGAATGAACAAACGCGAATCAAAGTTACAGGTGTTGCCCGTGCGTTCTGGTTCTGATTGCGTGATTTACCGGTTTTTAGGCCGGACATTTGAATAATAATAAAAAATTAGACGGACATACTTCGCACGATGGGCGGGCCACTGTTGTAGGCGAGAAGTTAATGTCCATCTGTACGTAGCGATTAATCATTTCTAACGAAAAACGATTCACAGCGGAGTCCGGTTAATAGTGTTGCTTACAAACTTCGACGTTAAATTTCGTGTAAAAAAAATGTTTACATGACGCTAAATTTTTTTTTTTGACCACAAGATACGACTTCCGATGAATCTCATGTTAAATTTTCTAACATTTCTGTTTAGTCTAAAAATTTTATCCACGGAGTACATACCGAACAAACAAATAACGTAAATAAACCATGTAAAATTAAAATGTCTAGATATAAACAGCTCAAAAATGACTAAAAAGTTTTGAAAATTTTACCACGTCTAGAAAAGACAAATATAAGTCTCCTGTCTAAACTTCGAGTCACTAAAAATATTTTTAACTAAATCAAAAGAAAAATGAAAAAATAGAAAACATTATAATATATTTCGTGAATTTTCCTGTTTTTCCCATATTTTTTCCTAGTTTTTCATATTTATCGGGAAAAATCCTGGGGAAATCATTAAATGACCATTTTTAAATACCACTCCAGTCAGATTTCCTTTCAGAAAAAGTTCTATACTTGAAACTCGGAGCAAAATTTCTAATAGAAAAGTTGTTTACAGAATAAAAGAAAAATAATAATAGATTCTCTGTTCACATCGAGTCCCGTAGAAAAAAAATCTAAAAAAAATTTAATTTATATCTGTATGCTAAGAAATATCATTGATAACGTAAAACGATTCTGAGCGAAGTACGGTTAATTTTTTTTATAAAATACCTCGTCTTTACGATTTTCGTATTAAATTTAAACATCAAAATGTTTTTAAAATCGTAATACGACTAGAAAAGCTAATACCAATAAGTTCGATGAAATTTCCTTAGTTCTCACTGGTAATTTCTAACTGAATTACAAAAAAAAAAAATAACAGAAACATATGAAAATATTACAGTTTTCCCCCGATTTTTTCCAATCGTTAAGAATATTACAAGGAAGATTGAAAAATGACTTCGCCGATGCACCAATCAGACAATGTTTGATACACCAGAAGCCACCACTAATATTGATGATCGAGACAAGACATCTGCTGCAGCAGGTGTGCAAGTTTTTCACAGACGAGTATAAGTATTATTATTAATCATGTTCTATCGATATTGTGCGTCGTTTAATAAAAAAAAAAACGTCATCAAAAACGTTTGTTTCACTTGAAGTGTTAGTATTGCAACGCCATTGTTTAATGGCGACTTTTTCTTTACAGTCAAATAGTAGATGGATTTTTTTTTTCCGCTTTTGAGTACTCGACGTGGTATTAATATTGAAAAACGCGTACTCGACAAATAAAAAAAAAGTAAACGGTGAGAAACATTCTATTTTTCGCCGCGCGTCTCTCGCACGGCAGTATTTCGATTCCGGCCGCGAATAATATCGCCGCCCGTCACTACAGACGCGTTCTAAAGAATCGCGCCTTCGGAACGATTTTCATTGAAAAATAATGACGATAATAATAATAACAATTTCAGTTGCCTAGTTGCCGATTGTTTTTTTTTTTTTTTTTACACCGTATTGAAATATAACGCCGGAAAGAAATATTTCCGTGCGCGATTCGCGTTCCGAAAACCGTGTCCACCATGACGTGCTGTAGACATTGCGACGGTCCGGAGCCGCGGTCCGTCGCCAAAACGACACCGGCCGCTCCGCGGTGGTCTCGCTCGACCTGGCCGCGCCCGCGAAATGGACCGCCGGACGTCCGGCGATATTCGTCGGTCCGGGCGGATTGGACGGCGAATACCTGTCCAACTCGGTGCCGCGATGCGCATACTCGGTGGCGCGCGCCGACGGTGCCGGACCGACGGTCGAGCGGCCTGCGCCCCGGCCCGCGGATGCGGATCTCGACGAACCGGCCGCCACGCCGTTGCCGATCGCCGACTTCGCGGCGCGCCCGCGACTTGGTGGATGGGGGATCGAGAAAAATGCGAGCCGTCATTTTTCGCTAGGCTCATACGGCCGGCGACGCTGATCGGTAATACGGTTCCCATAAAGTGGAAAAAGCTACGGATGTTCGCCCGTCGTTTGTATAACAAAATATATTATTATTGTTTTGAAAAAAAAAAAGACGGCCATACCACGCACGTGGGTGCAGCCACTGTTGTAGGTGAGAATTTGGGATGGTAGGATACCACAGACGGCAATTGAATGTATGTCTGTAAACAACGGCAAACAAACGCTAACGACAAAACGACTCTGAGCGAAGTTCGGTTGATAGTGGTGCTTGGTTAACAATATATACTTAATACTATGGTAAAATGATTATATATGCATTAAACATTTTTTTTTTTTAATAATATTTGTTACATATTGTACCTATTCTCTCTTTCTGTCCTTTTTGTTTCCGGTTTTTCCGATATATTGAGAAAACTCCTGACAAAATCAAAAATTTACCTCTTTAAAGTACCACTCCAGTTAAATTTCCTTTCAGGAAAACGTGCTATCATTGTAAATCGGAACAAAATTGCTGGTAGAAAAATTGATCGTATAAAATTAAAAAAATTAAATATTTTTGTCAAACCCATACATTCCTCGCTACCCTCAGAATTTAAAAAATATTACACTTCATATTAAATGTAATCAAACGGATAAACAGGTAACTTTAAAAAAAAAAAAAAAAAAATTTACAATTCATATTTTATTTCTGTAATATATTCTTAAAGTTTTTCTTTTATAACAATTTTTCCCTTTTCAAAATATATTTTACATATTTTTGATTTTGTGGTTCTTATTTATATATAAATATATATTTACTTGAAAAAGTTTCAGAATTTCGATAATTATAAAAAAAATATGTGGATTTCGGCGAACGAAATTTGAATACAAATCCGAATGACAACTTTCACAAGCGTTTGTCGTATTTATTTTTTCAGAAGATCGGTTGTTGTGCCCAAATTTTCGGGAGGAAATACTATCGTTTGATCAAAATAGTTTGTCTTTAATTTCTTCTGATGTACTTCAGGATGGTCACCTTACACCCAGATCCCATCCCCGTGCGATCAATTACCCCGTCGGACGTTTCTCCGTACAATCAACCTTAACAAACTTATGGCTTATACACAAAAAATGAATAAGTAAATTTTAATAAATAGTTTTGTACAGATAAAATTATTATACGATTTTTCAATTGATAAATTGATTTGATAAAAACGATAAGTAGAACAACGACTATACTATAAAGCAACACGGTAAATAATAAATAATAACGCGAACATAATATTAAGTAATGACTGGTATTAACTACTAATATATGAATTAACCACTATTATGTTAAGTAACTAATATAATTCGTCCGCAACAATAATTGTAGCGGGTGGCTATTAGACCGCTGTACAATAGCCGATTTTCGTATTCGTCCTCTCTTTCGGCTTGCCGGTCCGCCGAGAACCGTTGCCGCCGTCACCGCGTATCCTCCGCGTCACTGTGTCGTTTTTTTTTTAGCGTTCTACGGCTGGTCTTCCCATAACGATCGATTCTTATGTTTATTTTGTTAGTCGACATTTTGTTTATTAATTGACCATCCGCTCTCCGAACATGCCGAAACCGTCCGGAACGTCCTATATTGTGTACGAGTGTACAGCCGCTACAAAATATAAAATATTTTCACGGGATATTACCCGTCGGTCATTTCCCCCCCCCCGTCCCTGATTACCGTCGTCGTTCGCGCGGAAAATTGAACATAATTGACCCGGACGGACGACCATCGACGCGAATAACGTCGGGTAGTTCGAAGGGGTGGGGGGGGGGGTCCGGCACAGCACAGCGCGCGCGTGTCTAACGGAATAATTTAGACTGATGAGCGTCGAGTAATTAAAAAAAAATAAAAAAAATAAACAAACCCGTCGGTTCTTCATCACTGTCAGATCGCTTGCGGTGGGTTTTTTTTTTTTTTTTTTATTACTATTTTTATTCGGGGTCCGTCCCTCCGTGCACCACCGCCGCTATATACGATACGACGCATAATGCGTCATACGGACGCGCGTGCGTGTTTGTTTTACGGACGAAAAAAATATATATCCTACGGGTTATGAACGCGTTTTCCGTGCGCCGCGCGCGATATAATATGACGGTGCATGCGCACGGGTAGAAGCGCGATAACGGAAAGCAGGAAAACAAAAAAAAAAAAAACGAAAAATTACGTAAATAAAAAATCCAGCGCCGCGTGTCGTGTCGTGTCGCCGTCGTCCGAAAACTCCGCGCAAAGTTATTAAAATTAGTTCGCGAGAGCGCACGCGAATGTTACGCTGACGTGTAACGCGCGCGAGGGGACGCGCCGCCGGGTCAATTATCATATTATCGTGCGGCGACCGGGCGAAACGTATTTTACAATTTTTTCCAAACATCGCGTACTCTGTTCGTATCGTTTTCACGCGTCGTACGGGTGCGCATTGATACTGTCGAAATTCTGTCGACGCTCTGTTCGCGCGTATCGCATTTTCGTGATAACTGTCACGTACACCGAACCGCCCGGTATTTCCCGCCCCCGCCCGCGGTTAATCGTTATTGTTGCCCGGTAATTTATTGTTTATGTCTTTTAAAACTAGGGTTACCTTACGTTTATTTAGTCATTCTCCATTTTTTTCCCGCGTAACCCCCAACCCCCCCCCCCCCCCCCGTAAGTCGGCGAAAAATGTCGTTTCGAAAATACCGAAAACCCAGGGCCAGTCGCCGTTCGGGCACCGAGACGAAAAGACGAACGTCGCGGGCGATTCAAAACACGAATACAATAGAATGATAACCGCGCGGTCTGTATTCAATAATTTCTGCGCGGTGACACGCGGCGCAGAAATAACAGAAAAGCCGGTCGTCGGGTGGCGGAAGCATTTTTTCAATCGATTCGGCCATCTATTTTCCGGTGGTTATCTACTGTCTCGGCGGCCCGTTTAAGATCATCCGACATGTATTGCGACCGTGTACCCGTTTCTATGGTATCCTCTACTGTTTCTCTCCCCGTTGACTGTTCGGTTCTACCGGCTTTTCGTCTCTATATTTGTCCACCGGTCGTGACCGTGCAGGGTTTCCTAAAGGCCTTCTCCCGCAACGAGTTCTTTCTCAAAATCAATGATTGATTTTTTATTTAAAATTTCTATTTCGCGCGCATATTTTATGTACTTTAAATAAATTATGACGTAACCATTTTGCCCGACCCTGCCGGCGGTGACGACGACGACGACGACCGCGACGGAATAAAACGCATTATACTTCGTAACAATACTAATGTTCGGGGTATGTTAGTATAAAGTAAAAACGAAACGTAAAAAAACCTCGGGATAATTAAAACGCGCGTGCGCATCAATGCAGTATAACGGTATACGAGTATTATATTATTATGAGACGATACGCCTTCGGCGGATAAAGAGTTTCGAAAATATACGAGTACGAATATGTAGGTAACACGCGAACGGATTTCGGTTTGCTTTGGGCCGGACGAAAAAAGGAAAGAAATCCGCCGATCTTTCCGGACGATACATACGTAATTTAAACGGTTTATCGTGACATTATAATGCAATATATATATATAGGTGAGTACACGTGCGAAGGATGATCGCTCGGCGTCTAGGTAGTAGACGACGCGCGATAACAATCGACGTGGGTGCGCGACGCGCGGTCGTGGGCGCCGGACGATACTGCGACGGGTCATAAACATACATGGGTAGGTACCGATTATGGGTACACCCGACGAGACTCTATCGTGTCGGCAATGGGCATGCTTAGAAAAGCGCTCGTTTACATAGACGTCTTGTAAACAGAAAAAAAAAAAAATTTGTTTAAAAAGGTAGGCCGCTATCGTGGGCGGAAAGTCGGAAAAGTACATAGGAGATAAATATTTATGCATATATAATAAACACGAGATAATTTGCGGTTTTTATACAGAGTATCCGGCTACATAGATCTAAAAAAAATGCAATAACTTTTATTTTGTTCGATATGTTTAGGTTTGTCGGATTCTGAGCGAAACTAGGAACGCGCGTGTGGGTTTGTATAATGAGTATTGCTTTTGTGTGATTGTGTACAACTTTTTCACCGACAATTTCGCTCCAACACAAAAACTGTATAATTGTTGTTCTTGACAGTGCATTGGAAAATAAATTGTTCGGTTTTTCTCGCGGTTTTCTTAATAAACTGACGGAAAGGGCAAATGTTTGCTGATTTCTGTGTCACATTGGCAACAAGCGAATAATACGACTTATAACGCTGTGCTCAGAATTTTTTTTCGTTAGCAATGGTTTACCGTTGGATACAGACATTATTATATTGTAACATACATTTGACGACAATGCAGGTAATCGGACAACCGTGGCGTCATTATATTATTGAACGCAGCCGTACTTCGCGTCCTATAGGTATTTGATAAGGTGTGTACAGAATACAAACCGTATATCACGCATTATATAAGTTTATGATATACGTACAGGTACATACCTACGGGCGAATGCATCGAGATGTCAATGTCAACGGCGCGCGAGTGACGAAATGGCTCGAAACGTAATATACGAGATCGTAATAATTGTATTATAGTATAATACGGTAACAAATACGCGACGTGGTAGATTTTATTTTATTATTATTATTATTATTTTTTTTTTATGGTAAAATCGGTCGGTTGTAAGTCGCGGTGAAAAGTGAACGAAAGAATAGAATATATTTATTTATTTGTTTAGCTTCGTATAAGTCGAGTGTTCGAAAATTGCGTGTAGTTAAAACGTTATAATTTTTCAGTTTTTTTTGCGATAATATAAAAAAAAAAATACTTCGAAAATCCGTAGCCACAATAGTTTTGTTTATAAACGTTTGAAGTTTAAAGATTTTACGTGAACTCAATTTTTTTTTTTTAACTTCTTAATGTTAAAACTCTCATGTTGGTTGTTCCATGATCTGAAACAAGTGATTTATTTATTTATTACGAACCTATAGGTATAATTACGAGGAATGTATAGTAATAGCCACCAATAGATGCATTTAAAAACTTAT